GCAGCCGCAGGTGGCGCGCCAGGCTCTTGGGCTGGCTGAAGCCGCGGCCGCAGCGCGGGCACACGAAGGGCTTGAGGCCGCTGTGCGAGCGCCGGTGCTTGGCCAGGCTCTTGCTCTGCGTGAAGCTGCGGCCGCAGTCGGGGCAGGCGTAGGGCTTCTCGCCCGTGTGGATGCGCTGGTGCTGCATGAGGTTGGAGCTCCAGCTGAAGCGCTTGCCGCACTCGGAGCAGGCGTAGGGCTTCTCGCCCGTGTGGATGCGCCGGTGCTGCACCAGGTGCGAGCTCTGCGAGAAGGTCTTGCCGCAGTCGCTGCAGGCGTTGGGCCGCTCACCCGTGTGCGTGCGCTGGTGCCGCGTCAGCTTGGACCAGTGACTGAAGCTCTTGCCGCACTCGTTGCAGATGTAGGGGGCCGGCGGCCGCGGCCGGGGCGGGGGGCCGGCCGGGGGCGCCGACTGGGGCGGGGACAGCTTGGTCGGGGGCCAGCTGGGGACGTCGTCGTCATCCATGATGAGGATGTCCACTGGAAGGCAAGAGGGGGCAGGGGAGGCAGGTCAGAGAGAGGCCAGGCTCGACAGAGGGCCCGTCCAGGCGCGAGGGCGGTCTAGGGCCAGCCGCGCTGGGGGCTTCAACGGCTCTGCCACCTGCTACTGTGCGCAGCCTCGGGGACCTCACTCACCTCTGTGCGCCTTCTCAGGCTCCCCTGTGACACCTCGGAGAGCGGCTGGGCCGAGTCAGCGCCCCGCTCTCTGCACAGACCCGGCCCTAGGCACATGGCCCATCAGTCTCCATCCCCCTACCCACCCTATTCGCCTCAGAGCACCCACCACTCCCTGGCATTTTAATAAACATTGGTCTGTTCACTACCCATTCCTCAGGACTTTTCCTTCACGGCTGTTTCCCCCACATCTAAAACAATGCCTGAGACACAGTAGGGACTCCAGACATGTCTGTCCATCCCTATGGAGGTCTAGGGAAGGCTCCGAGGAAGAAATGACACCTGTAACACAAAGCACCAGGCTGGGGACTGGGAGGTTCCCAGGCCCACGGTTAAGGGCTCCAAGGCAGGGGGCGCGCAGAGCCAGCCCAGAATGCAGCGCGCGGCGTCGGACCCCAGCCCAGGGACAATGGGCTGCAGCACCCTGAAGGTGTACAAGCCCGAGAGTGACGGGGTCACATCTGGGCTCTAGGAAGACTACCCTGACTGCAGGGTGGAGAAGAGAGAAGGAACCACTCAGGCCAGCCCGGGAGTCCTGCCCCCCATTAACCGGGAGTGCAACCCCCACACGACGTAGCCTCTACTACAGACGTCCTCGCACTGGCCCTTGGTTCTGTGAGTCCGTCTGCCCAGTGGGGCTTTGCTCTTGCGGTCTGCAAACTGAGGACACCACCACTTACCGGCTGCCCAACAAAGCCTTTCACACATTTGCACCACGCCTGGTCCTGAGGGGTCTCCCAGGATAAATGGGAGCCTGCCACCTCCCTAACTTGCACAGCTCCGAGTCTGGTCTGTGTGCACCTTAGATGACTTTTGGTCTCCGCAACCGGCTGGGCCTCAACTACAGAATCAGACGGCGTGGGCGCCTCAACCCGGGACGCCCGCCTGGCGTGGGCCACGCCCCCTGGGTCTCCCGTCACGCCGTCGGAGCACAGCACAGGCCCCTGGGTCTCCGGGCCCTGGGGAACAGCCCCGCCCCTGGGTCTCCGGCCCCCGCCCCTGGGGAACAGCCCCGCCCCCTGGGTCTCCGGTCACGCCCCATCCTGGCCCCGCCCCCGGCTCGGGAGCCCCAGGAGCACCCCAGGGTTGTTTCCCTCCAAGCGTGACCCACCAACACCGTATTCCCGCTCCCCCCTCCCTAGACCGTAGGTCCCACCGGCGCAGCACACAGCGCTCACACTGTCCCTGAGAAAACGTTGGCAAACGTGCAAAGCAGGGTTCTCAGGTACCGAGGGCGGCGCTATGAACTTAATAAGCCTCACTGCCTTTAAGTCCTGTGAGGCGGGCGCTATAGAATTCGGGTCTTCACAGGCGAGGACACCGAGGCACCGGGAAGAGGAATCCGGACACGGAAGCAGCAAAGCCGAGATGTGCACGGCAGTCTGGCTCCCGGACCGGCCGTGCCGAGGCCCCGGTCCAAACAGCACCCACTCTCCTAGGGTAGCGCTCCTCCAACGGGCCCCGGGACCAGCTGCATCAGAGCTAGCACGGGGCTTAGCAATGTTCTTGTTCCGGGGGAGGGGGGCAGCCCTCTGAGATTTAACATGCCCCCAGGTGACTCTGACGCACCTGAACTTTGGGGTCCACTACTCTAAGGCATCTGGCTTGCACTGGGATGTGGAATCATCTGGGGCAGACGAAAAAATCCAGGTAGGAAGTCAGGAAGGCACGGGGGAGGGGCTTCTGAAGAGATGGCAGGGGGCCCATTTTGGGTCAACAGAAAGCAAGAAACGGAGTTGAAAGCAGATTACGTAGAGATGCAGAGACAGCCAAGAGTAAAAGGCTGGACCTGGGGGGCTGGGGCAGTGTGGCCGGGCAGCAGGGGCGGTGGGCGGGGAGGAGGCCTGCGCTCCGCGGCAGCCTTCCACCTCGCTCACTACTAGCGCTGTAGTCCCTCAGTTAAAATAAACGTTTTGTTTTCAAAGTTGTCAGCACAGAACGTTTAACAATACCCCCTGTGATTCAGCTATGAAGAGCATTTACACTCAGAGGACACGAATTCTCAATACAGACCACTAAAACTTGTGAAACACCTATGACTAAGGCAGGGGCGCTGGGGTGAGCTGAGCCCTCCATCCTCAGCTCCCGGAGCAGCTGGCGGCTGTCACATCTGCAACCGGCAAAGCAGGGCGAGGCCTGAGCGCCCCATGTAGAATCAGGGAGAGAAAGCCTGCAGCCCCCAGCAGAAGGGCTGCCGCCTGCACGCTTGGAAGGGAGGAGGGCGCGACCGGGCGCCGGGCTTGCGCAGCCTCAGCCTGTACGACTTTCTGCCGGCGGCTGGTTTACCGCACACACGGCTTCTTTTTTAATTGCAGGAGGGTTTAATTCCTCTGGGAGGCGGGTTCCGGTGTGTCCGCGGACCCGCCGCCGCGCATCTCTGCGCGAGTGCCAGAATGGGCGCGAGCGCGGTGTGCCCCGAGGCACTCGGGTGGGAGTCGGGCCTCGCGTGGATGCCAAGGGCGGGCCGCGGGCCTGGTACCAAGTCAGCAGTCATAGGGGATAGGAGGCTAGCAACTTTTCCGCCTCACGGTGTTATCTTTTTAAAGAACTCAAGGAATTCCCGAAAACGGAAGAGCACAGTGAGCCAGCACAAAGCACTCAGTCAATAAAAAGGACAGAAATGAGGAGTGAGCGCTTCGATGACGTTAACAACTACCCTTCCAGGGATGGGAGGGGGTGTCCCAGGCACCAGGCCCCGTGCTGGCGCACAACCCCACAGCAGACACTAACACTGTCCCTCCCGCTGAAGGAGGGCTCGGCTTGGGCCCGGAGGGGGTCCCGGGTCCTGCAGCACTGGGCCCAGAGGCGTCCTGCCACCCATGCAGCCCCGAGATACCCCCCACCCCACCCCTGGACAACCAGAACCTCTGGGGCCACAGGGACCTGCTGTTTTATTCGATATTAACCTTTTTGTTGTAAAACACATGTCAGATGCAGAGAGCCCCACAAATGGAATGCAGAGCTAAATACAATAAACACAGGAAGACAAATGCTCTGGTCAGGACACAGGACTTGGCCGCCCACCGGGGGGCCCCTGTGCCCTGTCCCGAGTGCACCCCTCCCAATCCCCAAAGTAACCACCCTTGGGACTTGAGCAGTAACCACGCCCTTTCACGTCTTCATGGTTCTGTCATCCAAGCACGAACTCCCAGACACTACCGTTTGGTCCATTACTTTTTAATTCGCCACGTCTTTAAGTCTCTCTCAATCCACAAGTTCCCCGTCTCTTGCCTTTCCTTAAAATTTTTTGGGTTTTTGAAGAACCCGAGCCATGCGGCCCGTCTGGCTTTTGCTGACTGCACACTCCTAGTGCGGTTTAGCAGGTGCCTCTGTCCCCTCTATCTGCTGCCAGTTAGCCGCTGGACCCCCAGGCTTGCTCAGGCTCCGCGGGGCCCCTGCAGTCATTCTGAAGGTGCAAGCCTGTCCTTTCACCCAAGGCACAAGATACCTGGTTGTCTCTCTGTGTGATGTCAACAGCCACTCTCAATGCTCAGATCTACTGAGCCATTGGGGGGTGCAAAATGGGGCTGTTCTGTTGTGTCTTCTGCATTCAGCAGCTGGAATAACTTCTAGAGGTGTTTCCATCATCTGCTAGTTGGTACTGGGTGGTAAATTTCACACGGTTTTGGCAGGATAAATGCTCAATTTCCTTATTTGCCCAGTTTTCAAGATAAAGAATTGGTTCCCTATCATCCTCAAAGAAAACCAAGTAGTCTTTAGTTTCTTAACACTATTATGAACTCATGGATTTAAACATATTAGGTGGGTTTCAATCCACTGCCATCATTATGGTACCGAAGTTAAATGTCCCATCTTCAGCCAGTGGGAGCCTCTTCAAGTGGGCTCTGAGGCCCTTGGACAGGACCCTAGTGGTCCTTCCCCAATACCCAGCCTCACAAGGTGTTCCAGGTTCATCTACACTTCCTGCCCCAGACCTGCAACTGGCTGTTTCTCCAAGAGGCCCTGGTTTCTTTCAGTAGGAAATGGTATTTCAAGACCAAAATCTGGAAATGATCATTGTTTTTTTAAGGTAAAATACCTATGAGTTCACACTGACACTTCCCATACAAATTCAGGCCTACAGGTTTTTATTTGGCCTTTTCTATGTGACCTCTGCATCTCCCTTCTTCAAAAGGGGAGGAGAGAGTTTGAGTACCCCGTAATTACTCATTCACTGACCCCAGAGTACAGTTTCTAGATAACCATTCTAATTCCACCATGGCCAATTATGATTCCTGAGACGGCAAATCAAGACCTGTTTTGCAGGGGCCAGCCCGGTGGCATAGCGGTGGAGTTCTCGTGCTCCGCTTTGGCTGCCCAGGGTTCACCGGTTCGGATCCTGGGCGCCGACCTACTCACCACTCATCAAGCCATGCTGAGCTGGCGTCCCACGTAGAAGAGCTACAACTCTACAACTATGATACACAACTGTGTACTGGGGCTTTGGGGAGAAAAAAGAAAAAACAGGAAGATCGGCAACAGATATTAGCACAGGGCCGATCTTCCTCAAAAAAAAAAAAACAAAAAGAACTGTTTTGCATACTCCCATTCCCTCACTGATTTCACAGCCACACCTGCACTGCCCGGTGTACTGTCCTGACCTACCTCACCTCTCTCAGCCCCACCCCCTCACCATCCGGCTCCCTCCAGCCATCATGGCTGTCCGAGGCTCACTTGCTAAGATTCCTCAGGAAGGGCCCATGAGAACACCATTGACTGAGCTCCTGCTGTGTCCCTGGAACTCGGAGGTCAGTGTTGCTGAATAGGAGAGCCTTGGCTTACCCTTTTTCCTTGGGAATCGTAAC